GATTTAAGCCAGCCATGCATGTGATCACTCTAATCTCATTAGAGGTTATTTCTGATGCCTTCATTATCTGTTCCCACACACAAACACAGGGGAAGAAAATTCTTAAGGCAAATTATCCCTACTTTGAAAGCCACATCCTGAGTCATCCTCTCACAAGAGAGATGTTGGCTGCTGGTCTTGAAGTATGTTTGTCTTGTAATTCCTCATGGATGCATTTGAACCCTCTGAAGGCTATAAATATATAGCCCTGCTTGTCTGTAGGGACTCATGATGCCAACCAGCCCTTCTACAACCACATCTCTCCCCAGCGTCTATCTTGCAGGATAGAAATGTATGACAGAGAACTTCACTGCCAAAGCTGTTGGTATCAAACTGTAACTGAACATTTACTAACATAATATATAATGTTTATGTCCAGTTGATGGACTGATCATTTGTCAGCTGCCCAGTCTTCCCCCAGCCATGCATAGCCATTAGAGGGGGAATGGTAGCTAGATCCATTCTGAAACAGCGCATATATGCTTTGTCTTCTCTGAATCCAATTAAGAACATTTAGAGATATGTGGCTTTTCTTCAAGCTTCAGTGTTCCTTTGTGATCTCATGATAGAAATATAAAATTCTGCGTTTATGGGTTTCTCTTTATTTCCCTTTTGTTTCTCTATGAATTGCTGTAATTTAACTCAGGCAAACAAAGCCGTACTGTAAAATCAGCCTTTCTCATTCCTGAAATTTTAAAGGTGATCTAGCCACATCTTCCTGGGATTGCCTGGCTTCTCTCCTTAATGGTAGCATGATCTTGAGAAAAGACTTCTTTGGTTCCGGAGTTGCTATGTGCACAACCAAATGCACTTCAAAACAGCTTTCCTCCTACTAATCCAAAACACTGAAGAGCTCTATTATAGATCTTATTTGTGTGATACTAGTTGCAGAAAGCTGGCAACACAGAAGAGTCTATTTGCAAAGCTAAAATTAAATTACTGCCCTCCAATGACACCTTTGTCCCATTGTTCCATTTAAAAATGCAGGTTCTGTAAGGATTCACACACGTATCAGCTTTCTGTCTTTCTGCATTGTCTTGAGGTAGTGAACTGTGGCTGGGCTGCACCACTTCAGATCATTTATCTTTGTATAATTAAATGCTTATCTTAATAGAGAAAACAGAGCTTAAACTTATTTTCCATATGGAACAGTTTTCAATCATGGGAGTTCCTATCTGTAGTCTAAAGTAGTACAGCCCAGGATCTTTATCATTTTAAGTAAGAACTGAATTTGCTGTCTTGCATGGACAATTTATATGTCAATAGCACAATGGGATTCAATAATATCTAAGATTTAAGGTTTTTGGATAAACTATTTATTCTAACTAGTTAGCTCCAATAAATTCACAATTACCAAAAAATAAATAAAAAATTTAAAAAAGAGAGAAATGTGCATTCTTATAGAACTCGGTTGTAAGGACCAAAGTACACGCCTTCCCCAACACCCCCTAATTTTCAGGCCCAGATCAGATGCCTTCAATCTTTGCATCCAGTTACATTTCCAGTCTGCAAAAGAAAGAGAGCAAAAGAAAGAGAGTGAAAGAGATTCCAGTGGGGGCTCAGACCTGGGTAGGGACCACAGTGGAATGCAGAAGTTTAAACCCTTATACAAGGAACACTTTCTGAGTTTGGAAGCCTATCCTGGCAACAGCCAAAGCTTATTTTGTACTCAGTTGAATGCAAAATTATGCCATCAAGGTAGTACATAGTTGAGCCCTAAGACCTGAATTTTTCACAACCAGGCAAGGCAGCAGGACAATTATAATAGATAGGACTTCTTATTAAGCTGCTTTTTCCAATGTTTGTTCACTGTATTGCCCAGTACTAATCTGCAGAGCAATTTTTTTTTTCAATAAGATGGAAGATTCATGAGTATCAACCCCTCTCTCTACTCCCTCCCCAAAATACAAATTGGAACTGCACAATGTACTTCAGTATATTACTTGAACTACATATCTCAGCCCACAGGACTTGCACACCTTTATTAAAGATCAGTATCTTTGCATTCAAATTATGATCAATGTATAGTCATTGTGTTCTGGCCTTGTCATCCCTTGTCACTGTGTTTCTTCTGTCCAAGTGACTACTCATGAGAATATGTTCTGCATTTTCTAAAGAAGAGAATATAAAATCATATAGTACCTACAACTTAATTTTCACATTAAAAGCTCTGTCACTCAAGCTTTTGTTTGAAGAAATACTTTATTCTCTCCTGGTGCATCCACAGACTCCGCCTGTCCATGTACTTTTGATGCTTCTGATGTGTAATTCATTTCACCATGCTACTGCCTACACAACACTTGATTTTTCACTTGCATGTCACATCTAGAATTTTGTTCATTATTTGCCAAATTAAATCTTTCTTGTCCACAAGCCACTTGCTATGGATATTGGAGACGCATTTTGTAAATGATCAGTGGCGTTTCTGAGATCAAGATTACTGTATTTATTACCTCAGCTTTCATTTCAAATGAGACACAAGTCTTTTGTTTGCCTCTAAATAATGAGCCGACATCGTTTGCCATTAAATAGCAGTAAAACAAAGCATGTCAGTTGAACTGCTTTTAAAAGCTTCTCTATTAGTCCCCCCTTGAGATAGTCTTGTAAAATCAGTAATGCACAATACTAATTGTGAATTTTTCAGCTTCTGCCAAGCTTCCATGTCTTGAATGTTAATTAGAGCAACTGAAGGAGCAATATCTTTCACTTAGCCTTCTCTCCCCTACGGTATGGCTATAATGAAAAGCCAAGTTCTTCTCATTACAATACAGCCGAGAATATCCCATCAGGATGACCACAAGTGCCAACCTTTAGAAGGGCCCACTGGCACTACCAACCAGTGGTTGCACTCTAGAGATCTCAGTGATTTCAGACTCCAGGTTTCAGATTTATTTTCCTTATTAGCTGGATCTGTGGCTTGCATTTGCCACTTTTCAGGGGATAGCCTACTGCTTGAACAGGAGTCTGTTTGAAAAGCTGCTTAGTCCAAATCCAGTTTGGTAGAGACAAAAAAGAGGGCAGAAGTCTTGAGTATTGGCAGTATTGCTGGAAATTCCCGTCCCAATTACCATTGTTACCTGAGGATTACCTGTACAGTAAAACTAAACCTCACAATTACTATCTAAGGTGGGTTAAGTGCCAGATTTCCTCTATAAAGTTTGTGTACTCCAAATACAAAATTTTCCTTTTTGCATATCCAATACTATAATCACTACTCCGCATTACTCCAGCACTATAAACATTATTCCACATTACTGCCAAAGTTTTTGGACTTAAACTTATTTGATTAAGAGGGAGGGAAAGAGGACTGCGTGGGGGAGAAACTCATTACATGTATTCATTGTATAAATTAACCTTGTAAAAAAATTGATTAGGCTACATTAGAACAAAAATCTAAAGTTACAAGCCCTTTTTATTTATTTGTTCTGCTATTGACTGAAATGTTGTCTTTAAACTTTGAAGTACCTAGGATGCATTTCTCCTTGAACATTCAGGGAATGAAGCTGACCACATTTCAAGTCACCCCACTTTTTGATTTCAAAGTAATGGAGATAAGATAAAAGAGAAGGTTAAAAAAGGTCCCCATTTAGGTCTTCCAGATCTGGGCTGCAAACTTCTGAAGAACCTCTAAATGGCATTAAAGAGATACAGAAAACTGTAGTGGTCATCTAGTTTTTGGTAGGCCAGATTTCTTAGCCCAATATCCACTAAGATAAAGGACAGATGAATTCTTAAAACTGTTCCTCCTAAATATAGCTAGTTTCCCTGTGTTTTATGTCAACCATTTTTAAAAAACACAACACTAAGCCAAATGAGCTAACTAGCCATGGTTTAAACTGTGGTTTACATATAAAAGTACATTTGCCCAGAACTCTCTTTCCCTTTTGTTGTTTAGAGAAAAACTGGATTGTCAGGAAGAGAACAGTGAACATGACAGTATGAAATGGGATGAGATAAATCTGTGCTAATATTAAACTTTGATTTTGTAACAGTAATACCATCAGAACCATAGGAGGAATAGTGCACTGAAGACTCAGAGACCATTAAACAACAAGAAGTAGTTATGTTAAAGTAACAGTCCGATCCACAGAGAAAACCTGTGCAGATCTTTCCCAACATTTGCTTTGCCCTTAAAGAAAGACTCTTGGTTGCTATAATGTTAGGCAATTTGTCTTGTTTAAGCTAATGAACGATATATTTAGTCCAGGACTCTTAATTCCCAGTAGCATCTAAACAGGTGTTTCTAAGAGCATTTCTCTTAAGGTATGATGCAAATTGTTATCCCCCTAGGGGTTGTACTTTTTGTTAGGTAGACGGAATATCACCTCCACCACCATACACAGCATGGAAATACTACCTGTAGCCGTTTTAGAATCAATTTTAGGTATCATGTTTCTCCATGAATCTGTCTAATCCTAGTGACTGTTACACACACACACACACACACACACACACAAAATTAGGGCAATTATAACAGTTCTGTGTTAATAAAATTCTAAAATGCGAAGTAGTAAAAGAAAGGAGAAATGTTCATTTGCCTCAGCCACTGCTGTCAATAGAATCCATGTCCAATTAGAATAGCAATATGACCCACATCTCTTTTTCCTTCAGAATTAACTCTTTTCTGGAACGTTACATTGAAGAAATGAACATAAATAGAAGAAAAGGACTTTGTTCATATGAAAGAGGTAGAAAGGGAAAGTTTATTCCAGTAGGTCCCTGTTAAGCAGTGACACTTCAGCATATACTTTAAGGAAAAAGACTCCTCTCATAATATGCAATATACAATACAGTATATCATCACTTGGCAAAATTGTCCTATAGTTGCTGGACAATTAGTATACAGGTTACATACAGCCCATTGCTTTCCTGCTTATTTTGTTGCTACATTATTTTCATTAAAAGACTAACTGCATTAGCCAACATGTATTTCTGAAAAATTTCTTTTTTCTGTTGTTTAGATCCATATGTGAAAATTCATCTGATGCAAAATGGGAAACGGTTGAAGAAGAAGAAGACAACAATTAAGAAGAACACTCTGAATCCTTATTACAATGAATCATTCAGCTTTGAAGTACCATTTGAGCAAATCCAGGTAATATCAAACTTGCAGGTCCTTCTTCACCTTGAAATTCTGCTCCTCTTCGTAGGAACCTTCATTAACACTTATGCAAAAATCCTTCATGGATGAAACAAGTGAGATTGTTTCAAAAGGTAAATGATGAGTGATGCAATACTTAGGAATGTCAGTTCATCAAACAAGCAGCAGATAATGAACACTAATATTCAGCAGCAATAGATGCTAAATAGAAAAGCCAGTGGTGATTTTATCCCAACAGTTCAGGAGAAAATCAGTGTTATTGTTTTCCATTCTTTCAGATGATTTGATTATTCTTATCAAATCAAAATTATTTAAAAATAGAGCAGTAATAATAATCATCAAAATTCTTCTGCTAAACTGCATAACTAAAACCATATTTATAATAACATACATAAGTAAATAATAGGTGTTGGCAGTCCACAACACTCAGCTTAGTTCTCTGTTTTTATCTAATTTCAAAAGCTCTCTGCAAGTAAACGTTTCTGACTTCTGACAAGGAAGCGAGAAAGAAAGAGAGAGAGAGAGAGAGAGAGAGCAACCAAGCAAGCAAGAAAGTGAGAGGGAGGGAGGGAGGGAGGGAGGGAGGGAGGGAGGGAGACGAGACATAAAACAGAAGACAAAAGGAACATACAAAAGC